AGAAAAGTACGAAATGATACAAGAGGAAGCTAAACTGTAAATAAATACAGTGATGACTATTCAAAGGAAGCATGAGTGGGATGCTTTTTAAAAGCTAGTTATATAGATGTGTTTTAAATACCTAGTTACTGGAGAGGATGTCTGAGTAAGTGCAACAACACACGTGGATTTGATGTGGCACACAGAGGTGAAGCCTGTGCTTAAATGGATGCATAATGAATACTTATTTAGATGTCATAGAGAATAAACCCACAAATGCAGTCACAGACATACCCACAAATGCAGTCACAGACATACCCAGTGGAGTAATTAGTGAGATGAAAAGGCAGCGTGTGATGTTGGGATGGATGTGGGCCCGTGTGCCACGGGACTGCTCATGCATCTGGAGAGCCTGGGGACAGGAAAATTCCCTGATTTGCTGCTCACCTGTAGCAGAGGCAGCCTGCAGAGGGCTGGGCTGTGAGCAGGGGTGATGCTGGGTTGGGCTGTGGGGCTGCAGGAGGGGTTTGCAGCATCTGGCCGTGTTTTCTCCATTGTGGTTCTGTGTGAGTGATTTACTCCATGGCAGGAACTGGAAACTTTCCTGGCTCAGTGTTTAAGGTTTTTATTGCATCTCCAAGGATGAATTGGTTTCTTGGGAATCCCTCTGTGAGAGGGGATTTGGAGTCTGCATATCTCAAAACCTGAGGGAGCAGGGCAGTGAGCAGTCTGTGGGGTTGGGCTCTCCAGCCACAGGCATTCCCAGCCTAACCCACTCCTGTTAGATTAAGTTTTTTCTAACTCAGAAATTAAAAGCTTTTGTTCTATTTTCAATCTCCTGTAAAAAAATAAAAATGTTATAATTTATACTATTACTATCAAAAGCTATTTCTTAATTACAATGCATTGTGTTTCTTATTGATTTTAGTCACACTATGCTATAAATGTTTTAAAACTAATCATCTAAAATGACCCCTCATAAGTCTTATTACAATATATCTTTCATAGTATAAAATAGCTAGTCTTATTTACTAAACCAACCTTTAGAATTTATTTCTAGTTCTATTTCTCTCTCAACAATATCTATCTTATTCCACAATATTTCTAAATCAACATTTCTTATCTCAAAGTTTGTACACAAATACATACTGCATAAACTTTCTATTAAACTTTAAAAATTCTCTACAAATTCATTTCCCACACACCCCAAGACCCTTATTTTCAGCATTTGAACTCACCCCTGCAGGATTATCCTTTATCATCAAAAGTGACTCCTTTCAGGAAGGTGGTGCTTGTGTGTTTGCTGAGTTTTTGCTGCAGCAGGGTCCCAGTGTGGCTGCAGCTGTGTCTGTGGGAGGGCTGCACTGCCCTGCCTGTCTCAGAGGAGCTTTCCAGCCCCGCTGATTTATGAGACATCCTGATGAGTAACTGGGGTAGGCTTGGGCTGAAATGCACAGTTAACTCGTCTCCTCTCTGGCAAGGCATCCTAAATCAAGCCCTTTGCCCGTGTGTTGCTGTTGCACTAGGGATGGCTGAATAAAGTGACACAGATTTTTATGTTGTATAAGGTAAATGTGAAGTTTATTATTACATATCACATTCTTTTTATAGGCAGCTGTGAGAAGGTGGGGCCTGATTGGTCCTCAATTAACACTGCTCACATTATTGGCTAATTAGGAGCAGCACTCTTCTTGTACACATCTTAGAAGTAAAAAAGTAAAAAAATCCATCCAAAACACATGGATTTGATGTGGCACACAGACTTGAAGCCTGGGCTTAAATGGATGCATAATGAATACTTATTTAGATGTCATTAAAAATGAACCCACAAATTGAGTCACAGATGTACCCAGTAAGTACAGGAGTACAGGAAGTAGGAACAACACATTATTATCCTGAGCACAGCATAATAGGAACAACACTTTTCTTGTACACATATAGTGTACTTAATAGTGGGTAATAAGAAAAACACTCTTCTTGTGCACATGTAGTGTACTTAGAGTGGGTAATAAGAAAAACACTGTCTTTGTGCACATCTTGCAAGTAAACAAGTTTAAAACACCAGTTGTAAAGATTAAGGCTATAATAATATATCCTTAATCAGTTGCAAAGATTAAGGATATATAATATTAATAATATGTATTATAATTCTATAATATATTAGTAGGGAGAAGGGACTATATAATATATATAGAAGGGACTATATAATATATATATTACTATATAATATATAATAATATGTTATATATATTATTTATATATTATATTATAATATTATATATAGAATATATATAATGTATGTAATGTATATAATATATATTCTATATTATAATAAATATTACTATATAATATACAATAATATATAATATATTACTATATAATATATAAGGTAGTAATATCATATATTCTATATTTTTATATATATATATATATATATACATATATATAATAGTTTACTATAATATATATAATATCTAAAATTTCAGACCCTTGCTGAATGCCACCTGAGCAAGCCAAATCAGAGCCTGCATAGTGTTGTCCTTTCAGGCAGGGTGGGAGGAAATGCATATTTTGCAGGAACCCCCATACTTTGCAAATCTGAGGGGCTCTTAGACTCTAAGTGAGAACCACTGGTGCTAAGAGCAGGTTGGTAAAGTATCTGATAAACAACGTTCTTGTAGAAGTGTATGAAGGTTACATTGTCCCTTCTGAGTGCTGGACCCTTGTCATAAATGCAATAAATGTGACAGATCTTACATTACTGTCGTGATCTCACACAGCAGTCATTGCTCAGCTGCCTTATGGGATTTCGTTCTGGGTCTTACATAAGCTTTTTAAAAACCAGCCAAGTGCCTGATTTTCTAAGGTGCAACATATCTTTTATTGTTTCCTATCTCCTGATTACTGTATTAATTCTAATATATGAACATTTAAATTATTCTGAAATATCTCTTACTGCACCTTTCCTTGAGCACACTGCTCCAAGTGGAGTAATCAAATAATCTGTGAAGTGTTTCAGCCTGCCATGTCAGAAAGACTGAAAAAGCCAAATTTTTGTTGGTGATGGAAAGTGTCAGAGTTACCTGGATGCACTGTGTTTGGAGAAAAGGTAAAGACAACATTGAATTTCTTAGGTATGTGCTCTGATTCAGCAGGATAGTGGTGGACATAAATAATTTGGATTAATTATGATTATTAGGGCCAAAATAATTATTTTATTTTATTATTTATTATTTTATCTGCAGGAAGGCTCAGATGCAGAACTGTCTCAGAGCTTTCAGATCCCAGCTGCTGGGTTGTGAGTGGATCAGAAAGAAGGGTGAAAGTAGAAAAGGAAGAAGGTAGATCAGGAGAAATGGGTGTCACCAGAGCTGTGGCAGGGCAGTGCCTTGCCTTCAGAGTCCAATCTTCTTGGAATGCACTGGGAAGGGAGGCTCTCATTGCTGTTTGCCATGGGTGAAAAGAAAACTTGAGCCTTTAGGACTGGCAAAACACCACTTTTATTAAGTTTCTATTGAAGGACTGCTCTGAGTATGATAAATGGATGGACTGAACACAGTTACCTGCAGTATCTCACTTGGAAATAGTAGAGAAATACTGAATGAGAGAAGGAGGTTTAAATGTGGAAAAAAGGTTACTTGGCAACATCAGAGTGTTTGTAAGGGAGAGAAAGAAGGGTCAGGGACTTAATGAATTTTGATGATAGACTTTTCTGTAAGTCATGGCACGAATGGAAAAATCCCAAACCAGGTTTCAGCCATACTCTAATGCAGAACAGGGTTTGTTTGGAAGCTGCAGACAAGAGCAAAGCCTGGCTGCTGTGTACAAACAAAATTGGGCTCCCCAGGCAGGCAGTGCTGGTTTAGCTCCAGCAGAGATGCTCTGAACAAGTTCTGTGCTGCTGATGAAAGCTGGTGTTCATTTTTTGTGCTGTCTGGAGTAAACATGCTGGGAAGTAGGGAAATGTTGATTTGGGGACCCCCATATTTTGGAATGAAGACACCATGTAGGAAAGCACTGGGATTGCAGTTCTGCCCAGCTTGCCAGTGCAATTTCAATGGGTAAATTAATTTTTCTCTGGAATAATAACTGTGTTAATTTCAGACCCTTGCTGAGAAAAAAAAAAATCCATTGATTGTTGAATTTTACTCCCAGGTTTCTGCACTCCTGATGCACCTTATTGTGTGTAAACAAATGGGCTGTGCTGGCATCTGTAGGAGAACCTGTGCCCTTGAACAAAATCAGCTGCTGAGTGTTGTATTTGCTGGGACCCCCGTGACAGGAAGGAATGATGAATGTGACTCCATGTTCTCAGAAAGCTAATTTATTATTTTATGATACTGTATTATATTAAAGAAAGCTATACTAAACTATACTAATGGATACAGAAAGGATACAGACAGAATGCTAAAAAGAGAATAATGAAAACTTGTGACTCTTTCCAGAGTCCTGACACAGCTTGGCCCTGACTGGCCAAAGAGTGAAAATAATTCACATGAAACCAATGAAACAATTACCTGTGGGGAAACAATCTCCAAAGACTTCCAAAGGAACAAAACACAGGAGAAGCAAATGAGATAATTATTGTTTTCCTTTTTCTCTGAGGCTTCTCAGCTTCCCAGGAGAACAATCCTAGGTGAAGGGATTTTTCAGAAAATGTGAATGTGACAGCTGAGCTCAGGTGGGAGCCCGTTCCTGGCCCACCTGGCTGACCTGTTATCCCACGGCTCCTGTACCTGTCCATGTATAAGGCACAGGATGTAAGACATCCCAACTCAGAGCCTCCTAAATCCATTTTTCCCTGTGTTTAAACACACTTTAGTACCACAGAATAGCCATATTTGTTTGTATTTCATCTTCCTTTCCTCACCAGGTAAGTTTTTAGCAGCGCTGGGTTTTTGGCAGCGTGCGGCGTGTGTCAGTGGATGCTCTCCTGGAGGGAGCAGCGTGCTGCTATCTGCAATAATGGATGTGAGGCTTTGAACCTTGTGACTGTTGTGGGATCTTTGTGTCTGCTCCAGGGTCGACCCCATCCCATATGACACTCCAAAGCCAGCGGGCCACACGCGCTTTGTCTGCGTCTCAGACACGCACTCCAGAACAGATGGCATCCAGATGCCCTACGGGGACATCCTGCTCCACACGGGTGACTTCACCGAGCTGGGACTGCCCTCCGAGGTTAAGAAGTTTAATGACTGGTTAGGTAAGGAATTACTGCCTTTTGGTGACCCCAATTAACCCCTCCTGTCCCAGTGTCACTCACTGCCTGCTAATTGAATTAGGGCACTCGAGAAATCTCCCCCCGCGCTCGCTCCGCTTGTCCTCGTGTCATGTGCTGCTTCTAGCCTCACTTGTCAATATTCAGAACAAATTATTATTATATTATTATTATTATTATTATTATTATTATTATTATTATTATTATTATTATTATTATTACTATTACTATTACTATTACTATTACTATTATTATTATTAATTTTTTTTCTGTTAATTAAGACAAATTCAGAGACTTTGCTGCATTTCTGCATTACCTCGGGGAAAGGATTCCTTGCAGCCCTCTGGGAGTGCTGGGGAGGTGGTGGCACCTCGTGCAAAGGATGCAGTTTGTCCCCTTAGCTGGTGCTGGGGGAGTTTTGTGTCCACTCCAAAAACTGCTGCTGGCTGTGTTTTGGGTTTGCTGTAGCTTACAGCAGAGCTGGAAGTTGCATGGATTGGAAATTATCAAAGTCCTTCTTCCCACGTGGCAGAATCAATAATACTGTTTGGAAGAGTATTGATTTAAAAATATAATAATAATAACAACAAATTTTATATATATTAAAAATAATGTATATATCTATAATAATAGAGATATATAATAATACTCTATCTAGAATGCTAATATGTAATAATATCTATACATTATATATTATATATAATTATTATATAATATTATATAAATTATAATGGATAATGTATATAATATAATAGATGAAATGTATATACAATAACTATAATATACATTATATTTTATATATAAAATATATTATTTATATGGATTATATAAATATATATAATATATAAAATATATAATATGTATAATATATATAATATATATTTTATATATATATTATATTTGGAGAATTTGGTGGGTGATATTCATATGCTTGCCCCTTTCATGTAGATTACTGGTATTTTATCTTTGATCACAGGCTGTCAGCATCTCTTTGGTAGAATACTGTCTTTAGGGAGAGAAAAAAAAAATGTCTATTCCCAGAGATAAAGATAATTTTAAAGATAGAAATGAAAACTTTTACCTTTAAACAACTCATCTTTAAAAAAGTACCCCATAAGTTAACATAGCCCATTAAGACAACTGTAAAAAAAGCTGATAAAAAAATAGAAGAAATTTCTCAATTACAATTTTCCCAAGCAGCTACTCTTCATAATAAGAAACACAAAAAACCTATTTTCTTACAGATAAGTCTCCGTAACATTAACAAAAAAGACTTGTCTCCCTAAGTAAACTAAAGAAAGATTAGTCTAAAAGTAGTAAACTAACTAAAATTTTAGGATTTGTTTCTTTACGTTATCAGTGAGAACAAAAAGGTTACAGAAAGATGAGAAGTGTCCTAAAAGTTTTATTATAATTTTTTTTTACTGTTTCTTTTAGTTACCATTAAGAAATTTCTTTTTATACCCTTTGAAAGTTTTAAGCTTTACCTTTCCCCTAGTCCTGCCTTAGAACAAGAAATGAGAGAGTGCATCCTAGTGAATGCACTGGTGATTAGCCAGCACTAAACCCACCACACTCATTAGAACATAAACCAAAAAAACCCTCAAATTAACAAACCAAACCCACTACAAACACCTTTAATATTCTGCTGCATTTGACAGCACGTTGCTGCAACTGAGGGCAGTTCAATAGCAAGAGCAGAGAACCAAAAGGACGGAGGCAACTTGTGTGGGAACAACTTTCCTGTTGTTGGCAATGCCACTGGCAGCCTGGTTGTGCACTGCCAGCTCACCCCTTGCTCTAGAAATACCCAGGGCTGAGGGTGACTTGAGCAGCTGCTTTTCAAAAAATCATCAGAATGGATTTTTAAATATATTTTTAATATATAAAAGATATTTCAAGGCAAAGCTCTATCATCGGGTTTTACTGCATTCTCCCTTGCCTGCTGTGTGATGGCAGCATCTTTGCATATTTTATCTTGTGTGTATCTTACCTATTTTATCATATCTCTCTCAGCATCTCCAATTTGATTGCCTTGGAGTTCCTTGGCTGACCCTTCATATCAAGAGATATGTAAGGGACATTTGGTTTCACAAAAGGAATTTTTAAATAGAAGAACTTGTACATTGTCTGTCTTGTCATCCTTCTTTGCATTTTCTTCATACTCTTCTTTTTGGCTGACCTCCTCTGATTTCCAAAACCCTATTTGAATTTGAATTTTTTATTGCTGTGCACGTGGGAGTGGGGCTCTTTAACCACACCCACTGCACCTTAGCTGCATTGTTCTTATTTCTAGAAGGAAATAGAAATTTCTAGAACAGCTTTATATAAAAAATATTTCAAGGCAAAACTCTGTCATCATTTTTTACTGCACTCTCTCTTGCCTGCTGTGTGATGGCAGCATCTCTGCATATTTTATCTTATGTGCATCTTACCTATTTTATCATAGGTAGCATCTCTGCATAATTTTATTGCATTGGCTGACCCTTCAAGAGATGTGTAAGGGATATTTGGTTTCACAAAAGGAATTTTTAAATAGAAGAACTTGTGCATTGTTTGTCTTGTCCTCCTTCTTTGCATTTTTTTCGTGCTCTCCTTTCTGCCTGACCTCCTCTGATTTCCTATTTGAATTTGAATTTTTTATTGCTGTGCACGTGGGAGTGGGGCCCTCTAACCACACCACTGCACCTTAGCTGCATTGTTCTTATTTCTAGAAGGAAATAGAAATTTCTAGAAGGTGATACTAGATTTGGTAGGCTCAAAACTGTCCTTTTTCTGTGTGCAATTGCAGCTCTAGAGGAGGATTTGCCTCTTGGAGAGCACAGATCTCCCTGGTGAACTGCTGAGAGCAAGGTCCGGCCACCTGAGTTCCTCTTTGGCCCCTGAGTAATTTCACAAATTTCACAAATGCTCTTTAGGCACAGCCAGAGCCTGTGGCCAGTGTTTGGCATTTGAAAACACTCAGGGCTGCAGAAAGCCAGCCCAAATATTCTGCCAGGGTGCTTCCACCCTTCCCTGGGCAATCGTGCAGTGCTGGCAGCCTCTGGGCATTCCTTGCGTCTCACAGGGGATTCCTGAGCATATTTTAGCACATAGGTCCCAACATAACATTCCCAAGAGAAGAATAATAACCCTTTGGATAGATTGTGTTCCCGCCTCAACAATTTACCAGGGGGCTTTCTTAGCATATATGCATAGCTTCTTGTAGAAGACAGTGTAGTGTTTGTCTGAAAAAAGCAGATTTTGCAGGCAGTTTCACTGAAACTGGAAGCTCTGAGTGTTGGAGGGCCTGCTGGCTTTGGCCTCAGGCTTTCATAGTTCAGGTACAAAGAAAATCTTTTTTTACATGCTGAAAGTCTACTTGCATTTTCTGATATCTATATATACACATATATAAATGTGTATATATACACATATATAAATGTGTACATATACAGATATATTTGTATATGTACAGATATAT